TAAAAGTGACCGTAAAGTCACATAAAGAATTGCAAACATTCTTTATTTAGCATGAAAAAATCTGTCCAGTCACGTTGCAGATCAAGCGCGAGCTTAGCTGATCATCGTCATGATCAGCAGCCATACTTTCAAAATTCGCTAAGTGAACGTAAGTACTTACGCACTAATTTCTTGTCTATGATTGGTGAATTTTGCTCGAAAGGCCGTCAATGATTGGCTGATGAACTTACTATCTCTTAACTTCTTTTGAAAGGCCCAGTACGGTAAGCTGACGAATCATAATTTGTATATGGCCCACGCTCAACGGAGGAAGAAAAGTCAGGACAGTTCGGGATTCATAAGAATCCTATAGAATTATACAAACTACAATCATATGCAAAATTTTATGAAATTACTAAAGAATTACGAGCAAAAATTAGTTGAACAAGTTTTGAGACTTTTCATGTTATTTAGACAGCTGCAAAATCTGTCTCGAAATAATCTCATGCTAGCTAATTAATAACCGAACTCAATATGACCAGATTTAATCAAATTTGTCTGACAAGGTCGGCAAAAGGAGAATATATTTTACCAATATTGGAAAAATTGAACGAAACGACATTTACATTTACATTCATGGGCTCCATGAACATTCAATTATGTTCAGTGAACATTTTTCACTATTAGGGAACTTGTTCAGGGAACAGTGTTTACTTAATTATGCTTCATGGAAAAAATTATGTTACTAGAAAAAATTACGTTCATGAAAAAATTGTGTTAATGGAAAAATTAAGTTAAAGGAAAAAATTATGCTCATGGAAAAAATCATGTTTATGGAAAAAATCATGTTTATGGAAAAAATCATGTTCATGGAAAAAATTATGTTCATTGTAAAAAATTATATTCATGGAAAAAATTATGCTCATGGCAAAAATCATGTTCACGGAAAAAATCATGTTCATGGAAAAAATTATGTTCATGGAAAAAATTATGTTTGCGTAAAAAGTAATGTTACTGGAAAAAATTATGTTACTGGAACATTAAAGACTAGAATGTATCCAGCAGTAGTCGCGGCTCGAGCAGGACGCGGTACAGTAGACGGCGACTGATACTGGAAAAAATTACGTTACTGGAACAATAAAGACTAGAATGTATCCAGCAGTAGTCGCAGCTCGAGCAGGACGCGGTACAGTAGACGGCGACTGATACTGGAAAAAATAACGTTACTGGAACATTAAAGACTAGAATGTATCCAGCAGTAGTCGCGGCTCGAGCAGGACGCGGTACAGTAGACGGCGACTGATGAGCACAAGTGTTCTCACTGCCTCCGGCGCAGCAGGTGCGACACTCGAGCAATTCTCTGCCCACCTCCTCCCTCCTCTAGACTATCTTCCTACAACGGTCATTCTCATTGTTTATTCATTTGTTATTATTATTTTGTTTGTTCGGTTACTTGTACATCAGTACAATATCTCCGTGATCCATATCTAATTACTATTATTTCATAATTATAAACATAAACCGCTATTATAAACATTATTGTCGGCGCTCAATAATCAGCATATATAATAAGACCTAATATCTCATTTGATAATCATCGGTATTCTTCATTAATATCTAAATATTTCCCATAGCCAGACGCGTTTAGAACAAATACACCTATCTGAATAGAATAGAATAGAATTTAAGTGTCGGCACTGAAGAAATAGGCCCATGGCCTGTTGCCGATTCTTGAACTTTTCGTGACTTGATTCACAAGGGATCCGGCCTTTGGAACCCGATCTTTCCATAACTGACGATTGATTGAGATAGCTGCTGGACTTATTTAGGTTTGATTCAATTTAAATTGAATTAAAGGAATTTGTTTCTTTTTTCATTCGTATATAAAAGTTTTTTATATTTTTCGTATGCAGCCGATTCTATTTAACATACAACAGTTTCTACTTCTTTTCGCAGACATTTTCACTTTAATTATAAAGCTCAATGCTGAACCTTAAGCATGGAATCATGAGCAAAACACGTGTTGCTCGGGAAAGTGTCTATATACTGTACATTAATTATTTTTAATAAAAATTCTGAGATGCTAATTTGCATAATTGTTGAACATGGTCAAGCTTGCTACAGAAATTTCATACTGTAGTCCGCCTATGACTGCGGGGTATAAATGGCCGACCAACGTCACGTCCATCAGGGCTTCAATTAAAAAAAATATATATAACTCAGTACTCACTGCAGTGAGTGACAGAGAGCGCATTTTCTCATCGACGAAAACGTGAAGTCACGGACGGACAGACAGACGGACGGACAGACGGACATGGCGAGCACAATAGTGCATTTGCACGGACATGGCGAGCACAATAGTGCAACTAAATTAATACTAAATTAATTACATTAATTAATTCAACCATGCTCAGACTCGTCAACCGCCAGCCGTCAATCGGCGGACAATTATATTACTCAAATTTATTTATTGGAAGATTTTCCTCAAGCATAGATCATTAGAAAAAAATGAATGAACTCAGCCTTATATTTACATACCAAGCAATCTTATATTTATTTTGCACCCCAAATTAATTAGGGCTTTTGTTCAGACCGTTGAAAAATCCTCTTAAATGTGCAAACAAATAAAGTCACATAATTTAAACATGCGAAAGTGACTAGTTTTGTGATCAACAATATTAAATTTACAACAGTTTGATTCTTAAAATTTTAAGGATTTTGCTTATTGTTTTCATTAAATTAAGTCGAGCAGTAGAGCACATCTTGTGTAAAAATTGTGTAATGTTCAGCCGAAGATTTTGCTGCCATGAACAACAATTTCGTGGCAAACCATCAGCCTCAAGTAGCAGTAAAACTTACCTGGATGAGTCTAAGTGGACGCAGTCTAGTCGACGTTATCTGCTTATCTATGACTACACTCGGCAAAAATAAATCTTTCTAATGGCCTTGGGCAAAGAGCGTGTGACAAATAAGAACTTCATTGCAGATCACGAATCGATTTAGTTGATTAGATTCGAGCATATTAAAATGGACATAAAAAGTCAGAATGTAAAGAAAACTGAACATTCTGAACTTTAATGTTAAGTTCAATATGCTTCGATATGCAATATGTTCGGGCAATGTTGTTCAGTATTGTTGAAATAACAGGTTGTTCACTGCCCACTTGAAATACTTGTAATAACATGTACGTTTGCATTGTAAAGTCTGTATGAGGACATATATTGTGCAGCTCGTTGTCCAAAGACACGTTAGATTTTACAACTAATTAATTATCAAAGCCTGCCATGTAAGCGCCTATCTTTTAACGCCACTGAAATCGCGGAATATCGATAGAAATGATATATTTTATGTATAAACTGAAAATACAACTTTTTAGCGCTATCGAAAAACATCGTAGTTATCAATGTCGTTCGATTACTGGAATCATTGATTCGCCAGAAATTTAATGGAAGGAAAATTCTATAAGAATTCACCATATCATTATGGAAAAAGTTTCGGAGAATAACTGTATCGTCAGTTGAAAAAATTTAGAATATAGATCTTTGATTTTAAATTCCTTGTGAACCTTTGTAGTTATTGTGAGCTAATCGAACGACAAAAAAAATGTAGTTGACAGTATCATCCAATTTCAGTGACGAGCGGTGAATTTGGCATCAGTAGCGATCTGGAAATGACGCATTTTAACAGCTGAATTTCTACGCAGGCCAATTTTTGCGTGAACAATCATACCAGTACTAATATTGAATAAAGCGATGGCTCAATTTTTGTAAACTTTTGAGTAAATAAAAGCTTTTTTCAAGTATTCGGATTAAAATCCGTTCATAAATTTCTACATATATTGTATGAATGAAAAATTCTATTATAGCCACCCAAATGTTGTAGAATTGACTCGCGCTTTTCTTTAGGGGATTTTTAAAACTCATTCAAGTCATTTTAGATTTTTTGATAATTAAAGCTTTCTGAGCTTGTTGAGTACCGTATTAAAACGTACGCATATCATTATACATTGCTTTATGAAGCAGTTATTTCCCATATAACTCTCATATTTCGAATATGAATGCTGGCCCGAGAAAGAGTGACATTGTGGCAACCACATGCTCGGGCGTCCGTCTTCCAGCTTGTGGCAGGACTCGCTTCCTCTGTCGCCCGCAGTGCACGCTTGACTGTCAACTGTGATGGTGTGGTACCGTAGCTACGATTGCTGCTCAATTTTGCTGGGTACAAAGCTCCAAAAAGGAAATAAAAAATTTTAAAGATTATCGATAAAAAATATATTGACCCACTTTTTACTCTTTTATTACAGTTAAAGGAAGAAATCGCCATTTGAAAAATGAATACATTAAAAAAACTGGAATTGTGGTACCTTATATTTGGATTTTGAGTACGAATTCGATACAAACCAGTACAATGAGTGTACATGTTCTTTATTTGTATGCGTTATTTGCGTATGCAGCTACAACTCTAAATCAAAATCGTGAACTGATACAACCCTCATATTTTGCTCAGATAGTTTAAGGCTTCTTAAGGGTTTTGACAGTCATGGCACAATTTCATTAAAAATTCAAGACGCACCTGTTGTGAAAAAAGTTTGATTTTAACTCATGCATTTATTGGAGATCAAAGAGTCTGTGCTTGACAGTTATTGACGCGTGACATTAAATCAAAATATTTTTATTATGAGAGTTATTAAATATCTGCGTGACATTAAATCAAAATATTTTTATTATGAGAGTTATTAAATATCTGCGTGATATTTCTTCCATGTTATTAAATGAATATACGTTGTACGACGAACTTGACATTATCAGCCGTTAATACATTTTTATAGAACGTTTTTTGGTTTTTAGAGTGTATATATATATAGTTCAAGTTGATGGATATTTAAACTTACGTATTTATGAATGAATATGTGAAAACTTTTAGGAAACAAGCAAACTCTACGGATAGTAACAGCATTCGTTCAGATATGAAACGCAGCCAAAAAATTGCGCATGATGAATGTATAGTACAGATTTTTTTAATTAGACTAAGTTGAAAAGGAGATTTAAGTTAATTTAATTTAAAGGTATTAGATTTAATGAGCATACCCTGACATATTAGATAACGTTTGGAACCTCATATAGCTGTGGCGACTGGACGGCCAGGTCCCTTAACATGTCCAGGTGAGTCCAGACTCAAGGTTAACTCCAGGTTAACAGACTCCAGGTTAACTACAGGTTAACAGACTCCAGGTTAATAGACTCCAGGTTAACAGACTCCAGGTTAATAGACTCCAGGTTAACAGACTCCAGGTTAACAGACTCCAGGTTAAGAGACTCCAGGTTAAGAGACTCCAGGTTAAGAGACTCCAGGTTAAGAGACTCCAGGTTAAGAGATTCCAGGTTAAGAGACTCCAGGTTAAGAGACTCCAGGTTAAAAGACTCCAGGTTAACAGCCTTCAACAACAACAACAACAATGACAACAACATCAACAACAACACCAACAACAACAACAACAACGACAACAACAACAACAACAGTCACGTCAAAGCAAAGGCTGCAGCAACGACTGCAACAGTATCAGGTCATCAGCTGAGTGGCGGCGTGCCAAGAGCTCGGCCCTCCCAAACCTGCAACACTCTCGTCATGGGGCTACTAATTTATTACAAAATTCTACTACTCCTTCTACTACTCTACTACTACTACTTGTTATACTACTTCTACTACTCTACTACTACTACTACTTGTGATACTACTTCTACGAAAGGTTCTTTTAATTGGCCCCTTGCTACTTATTCTACTACAAAGATATTTAACTCGTCATGGGCTACTTATTTATTACAAAATTCTACTACTCCTTCTACTACTCTACTACTATTACTTGTGATACTACTTCTACTACTCTACTACTACTACGAAAGGTTCTTATAATTGGCCCCTTGCAACTTATTCTACTACAAAGTTATTTAACTCGTCATGGGCTGCTCACCGTGATTCACGACCTTAACGTGTATAAGAGACAGCTCCAGGTTAACAGACTCCAGGTTAACAGACTCCAGGTTAACAGCCTCCAGTTTAACAGACTCCAGGTTAACAGACTCCAGGTTAACAGACTCCAGGTTAAGAGACTCCAGGTTAAGAGACTCCAGGTTAGGAGACTCCAGGTTAAGAGACTCCAGGTTAAGAGACTCCAGATTAAAAGACTCCAGGTTAACAGACTCCAGGTTAACAGACTCCAGGTCAACAGACTCCAGGTTAAAAGACTCCAGGTTAACAGACTCGAGGTTAACAGACTCCAGGTTAATAGACTCCAGGGTAAAAGACTCCAGGTTAACAGACTCCAGGTTAAAAGACTCCAGGTTAACAGACTCCAGGTTAACAGACTCCAGGTTAACAGACTCCAGGTTAACAGACTCCAGGTTAACAGACTCCAGGTTAACTCCAGGTTAACAGACTTCTGTACAGCTAGGTTTAGTCTAGTCTCGATGAAACAATAAACAACGAGAAACGCGAATGAAAATTTCTATTTAATAATTTCTCATGATTCATTATTCATAATTTCAATGAACCATTGTTCATTACGACTCAGTTTGATTGATATGAACTGCAGAGTGGTTCTTTAATGAATTCAGCGGAATATGAATTTGCTTCGTCATAGAAAGGACTGGATTAAATAAATCTAGTAACTTGTATCTATGAATGAAAATTTTAGCAGAGTCACTCACTGTCCTTCACTTTCAACAAGGATGCGCGTCATGGATGCACGTTTCAAGCTATATAGTTAATATATTAATGCATATATTTTTAATAATATGTTGATGCACACATTTTTGACACAGTCATTACACAATTTCAATAATAAATTCAAGACGAAACTGCTATAGAAAAAGTTTGATTTTAACTCACGCATTAATTCGCGATTAATGGTTTTCTTGAGGGTTTTATTAAGTTAATATGTTGATGAACATATTTTTTCAGTGCAATACAAGAGGAAACTGTCAGCGAGTCATCGAAGGTGCTGGCTTTTGCTGACTCCAGCGTCACCATGACCGCTGACTCAGGCACCGACTGCCGTACTGACTCCAGAGTCAAATGTGAAGCTGACTTGTATGGAGATGAGGATAAAAAACGCGAGGCGATTGTTAAGAAGGTATGTAATGTTCCAACCTTACACACATGCAGCCTTGCATGTTTGCGTCATATTCCAGCCTTGCATTAGCGAGTCGCTGATAATTTGAAATTCATGCGTTTGAAATCTTCTGAAGAATGACTGACGCGAACATTAATGTGTCATTTTTTTAAGATGCTTAAAACGGTCGAAGCTAAATATAAATCCTTATATAAGGTAGAATTTAAAATATTGCTCAAAATATGTAAATGAGAATAATTGATTAATTCTTGGGATGGTAGTGTTTAACCCACCGGCGCTTGCGGGCAAGTAACCATGAATGGTCACATAAAATTTCCCTAAAGACCAGCTCCATCGTCAGTTCAAAAACCTAGAACAAAACTGGCTTTTGAACTGACGGTGGAGCTGGACTCCGAAAGTTTTATCTCATAAGAAATCGTGAATATCCCGCTGTATTCTTTGTTTTAAATTCATTGAACATTCAATCGAATTTATGACGTAAATAATGTATTGATTCGCGTTCAAACTACGTTCTATACTCCAGATGAGAAGCAAGCCACAGACGGAACGTCGTCGGCGACAGCGCATCAACGAGTGCGTAGCGCTGCTCAAGCAACTCGTTCTCGAGGCCATGGGTAAAGATGTGAGTCCAGCGCCCTGCCAACACTGTATTACTCATGATTATTGAGTATAGGTATCCCTTGTCTCTCTTGTAGTACTCGTAGACAATTTAATGCATAAGTAAATGCATTAGCTAAAGGTTATGTTGCTAAGTAAAAATTCTACTCGGTTATATATGAACGCAGTTTCATCTAATATTTTACCTCGTGTTAATTATTATTTTTTCCCAGCCGTCTCAGTACACAAAGCTGGAGAAAGCAGACGTTCTTGACATGGCTGTGCGTTATGTTCAAACTCTGCGCCAACAACAACCTGGAGCCGTCTCGTCCCAGGAGTTCAAAAACTCTTCGTCTACTTCCTCATCCTCTCAATCCTTCGACTCTTATGTTAACGGAGCTTCGTTTCAGCCTTCGACTCTTAGTTGTTCATTTGCACCTAAAGATTCTTTCATTTCCGATAGTCTAGGAGAAAGTTTACCTGAAAATACACCAACTTCTCTGCAGTACCGAGCTGGTTTCTCTCATTGCTCATCTGAGATAGGAATTTTTCTGCGGATGCTCAAAAATATTCCTCATGACTTGCCCGACAAAGTTGCTTCACACCTCAACAATCTGCTTATGAAAATACAAACAGAGAATGAGGTCTCACAATTCTGTTCGAAGGATGACACGAACCAATTTACGGGACTGTCCCCTACAATTCAACCTATTTTACTGTTACTCAGTCCTGTTCCTGCTACAATACCTACGTTCCAAATTGTCGGACAACCGCAGGGTTCAGCTTTAATTTCCGCGACCAATTTAACATCATTCAATTCAACTTTTACGGTTAACTCTTTGGTGGATTCAGCGCAAAGTCGCGTCGATAGTTCAGGGGCAAGTCCGAACAACTCTGCAAGTTGGGTGCCACCTCAGAATGAAGCAATCATGAATGACAGTGCGGCATGTAACAGTCCGTGTATTTCTATCAAGTCCGATCAGTCTTCACCGAGCTATTTGAATTCTAGTGATGACACAGACCTTACATTGGAAGAAGTCCCAACGCGTCGATCTGATGAAAGTTTCAGCTCAGGTGATTCCATCGAATCGCAGCTGGAAAAAATGCATTCAGTTTCCCTAGGGGCAGGCTCTTGTTCTCCAATAACTGCATCTTTTGAGCAGTCGACTCTTGATGCCACTGAACGTAAAAGTTGTGGACATTGCCATGGTCCTGTAGGCACTTCCGTTAACTTAAGAATGCGAGACCAGCTGTTGTGTTCTTCAGGTTCGGTCCAACAACAAGAAGCGATTAAAAATTTTCATTCTCGAGACTTGCAGCCAGAAATGTCGAGTATGTGGCGACCGTGGCACTGATATTTTGTCGCGTTGAAACAATGTTCTTTATTTCTTTAAATTTTCTTGCACCTGTATTTATTTTAAGAAAAGAGGCGTGGTTATTCTGATTAATTCGGTGCCATGTTTTGACTCGAACCATGGCGTGTCAACCAAACTTACGTGGATTCTGTGCTGTCATGAAGTCATGATGCTTGACCAAGCAAAATTTATTTGGCGTTCTGAAAATTGCATTCTTATCTCGAACTAAACCTCATTTTCCCAAATGAGTAACAGCCTGATTTACTCATATAATACCTGACGAACGTACGGCCTCCGAGATGTAAAGACACTATCTACTGAACGGGACTTGCAAGCCCAAGCCTCACAGATCTCAAAATGCAATCTATAGTTAATTGTTGATGTTAATAGTTTGTTTTACATGAGAAAGATGCATAGTGTTACAGACAGAACTACCATGTGCGCTGCCTCTCTTGTCTAAACTTAAGCTTCCCCTTATTTACTTGTTAATTTAGTACTATTAATATTTCTCATATTGATCTCCCGGGTTAAGAATTGAATCTATTTTTGTTAAGGCTGCTTATCGGCAGAAATAAATTTTAAATTCGCCTCGAACAAAAATTTTATCCATGAGAAACCTCTAAAAACTACACACCGTATTGAAATCAGATTTATTTTCGCATTATCATTCTAGGCTGCACAAGCAGAATAGATTAAATAGGCAGACAATTAATAACATAATTTTAGCACACAGCCTTGCACCATATATTTAGCGTTAGAACTGCACTGAGTTAAGTGAGTAACACTGTGCACCATATATTTAGCGTTAGTTAAAGTAAGTCAAGTTGAGTTAAGTCTGAGTTAAGTGAGTAACACTGTTGCAACTTTGGGGTTAGTTGGGTATATGTATTTGCATGTACGTTAATTGGGGTGTGTATAGTCCCATACGTACGTACTCTCGATCATAGGGAAGTTTAATCCCATATAGGATACGTACTCTCATAGGGAAGTGTAATCCCATAGGGATGCGCACTCTCATAGGCATGCGTATTCGGTTTCATTTGCGAATTGTGGGATGAATTGGGAGTGGACCTCTTGGTTTGTCTCAGGATTCAAATCACTGCAATTTAACTTAGCGATGCGGTTAAGGTAGCAACTAAAGTACTCACGATATTTTTTATATATGTATGTATTATAAATAAAGTATGCGCTCTGTGCTCTAATAGAAGTAAAGCGCATTGTTGAACTATTTTCCTAGAGTGAAAATTTTTTGGATTAAATTATTTCCTTTATATTGAGAGTACTTTTTTAATCGTGATGTAACTTTAGAGAGAGTTGAAAACATTCGCTAATCACATGGCGCCTGATTAATTGTATTGCAAGCAATAAAATGCTACGTAAAAATTTTTTGTTTGTATACATTCTTTTGGTCACGTTTGTATTCTTTTGAAAAAAGGTTGTATTCTTTTGAAAAATTTTTTGTTTGTATTCTTCTGGTCACGGACGCAATTTAATTTTATACGTACGTCACCTGAATTTTGAGTAACTTGTATTGCATAAATTTCAGTAGATTTGTGTATAAACTATCGCATACAAATATCCAGGGATGTCTCGCAGCAGGAACAGGCATTGTACCGCAATACCGTGCATCAACAGCATCACTCCAATGTGTGGAGCAGCAGCACCTGCAGCAACAGCAGCAGGTAAAAGCAGCAGCACGTGCAGCAGCAGCAGCAGCAGCAGCAACAGCAGCAGGTAAAAGCAGCAGCAGCAGCAGAACGTGCTGCAGCAGCAACAGGTAACAGCAACAGCACGTCCAGCAGCAGTAGCAGCACGTGCAGCAGCAGCAGCAGGTAACAGCAGCAGCAGCAGCATGTGCAGCAGCAGCAGCACGTGCAGCAGCAGCAGCAGCACGTGCAGCAGCAGCAGCACGTGCAGCAGCAGCAGGTAACAGCAGTAGCAGCAGCAGTCAGTGTGTCTCTAACAGTTGCTCAGTGCAAGACGTTGGCCGCCAGCTACGCTAGGCCAGCGGCCAACGTGATAGTAAGGTAATTATCCTGAAAATATTCATAATGTACAAATTAATGTGCTAATGCATCAAAAGAACTGTTTACCCAGTAATACGTGCCCCGTTCCAATTGAGGCTTGAAGTTATTGTATTCACAAGTCGAATTCTAATTCGGGCATCTTACACATAATTATTTATCAATCTCAAACGTAAGTAATTGCCTTAATACACTAGTGCGTTACGTTTTTAATTATACTTGAATTATCTTCACGGGCAAGTTCGTGAATATATATTGCATATTCTAAATTTAATCCTGAGTATGCAACAGTCTGGCAAGTGAGTGAGGGTTTTGATGGCTCAAGAATTGTTTACTCAGCGTCACTTAAATTGCAGTTCAACTCTTGTAAGTCATCACGTTAAAAATGATGTGTTGATAATGACGCCAGCGCCTAACCTCTACTCGATAATCTTTCATATTCTTTTGAGCGCAAAAGACTTAGAACGAACGTTTTTGGCTCTTTTTCGATGATGTGTGAAGTGTATTTATGAAGTGTTAATAGTTTCATGCCATTCTGAATCAAACGCTAGGTGGAACACGTATTTATAAGTGAAAAATTAAAATTTACGCTTAAGTAGATGAATTCAATTTATTTTATTTTCTGCCTTAAAATATTAAACACTCGTAGATTTATCCTAAGAATTTTCCTTTTTTGAGATTTGATTAATTTTTTTCACGGTTAGTAGTTCGTTAATAAGCAAAAGCATGAGATAAACATTTGTCCTATGGCTGATAAGCCAACGGCTAAATGACGTCGAAAAAAACGTTGATTACGAGGTCATTTCACGGAAAAACTGTTTTTTCGACGTTGTTTAAAGTTGCTTGCCTTTTGAGTAGCGCAACCTCTAAAATTACAAGCAATGATTTTCAAGTCCATTCATTAAAAAGTCAAGACAAATATATGATGAGCGTAAATTAGCTAAATGTAGAGCTCTGTGAGAGATTCTGATTAAATAAATCTGATAAATTGATTTTATTGCTTTTGGTTTGAGAATGTGAAAGACAAACGATTAAAAAATTTTAAACAGAGAATATAAGTTTAAAATCACAGGATGAGAAAACGTTTCATGCGAAAACGAGTATTGATTTGATTTAATGTATCAAGTTTATTCTTCCGTCTTTGTTTCGCCACGTAGTCTTGATCTTTGGTTATATGAATGAGTGGTGGATAAAAGTTTAATTTTCATAGGTATCACAAATAGTACAAAATAAATGAAAAGTAAAAAATAAGTGAACTAGTAGACCCCTTATAGGTATCCTTCAAATAAATAGTGCACAATAAATGAAAAAATAAGCGAACGCTTTGATCCTTTGTCAGTATCCTTCAAACAAATAGTGCACAATAAATGAAAAAATAAGTGAACGCTTAGATCCTTTATAGGTATCCCTCAAACAAATAGTGCACAATAAATAAAAAATAAAAAATAAGTGAACGCTTAGATCCTTTATAGGTATCCCTCAAACAAATAGTACACAATCAATGAAAAAATAAGTGAACGCTTAGATCCTTTATAGGCATCCCTCAAACAAATAGTGCACAATAAATGAAAAAATAAGTGAAAGCTTAGATCCTTTGTCGGTATCCTTCAAACAAATAGTACATAATAAATGAAAAATAAAAAACAAGTGAACGTTTAGACCCCGAAATTAAATGGCGGACAGCAGCGGAGGTCCGACGATGAACGGCGGAACGGAATCACTGCTCACGCCTGAGCTTCTCTACAAACTCAACAAGAAGATTGCGCAGCTTACGAAGGTAAGAAGATTACTTACTTCCAGCTACTTATTGTACTGTTGTTATTATCATTATTGGTTATTGACAGATGTTTCATATGATAATTATTGAGTTAACTGAAGCTGTAATTATTATTTGATATTGTTATCAGGATTATCAACATTGCTATTAGTACAAAAACCGGCTACGCTTGTTTGAGCTGAATAAGTTGCAATTCTGAGGTCAATGCAATAATTTTAATGTAATTGGGGGCTCTAATACCCAAATATATTATTTAAAGTATGTAGTTGAGAACTGCAGATAAGATGCTTCGTTTATGTCTATATTACCTCAACCTGTAGCCAGCTGTAAGCGCAGTGAAGGTATTAATAACCTGTTGAAATATCACCTCGGCCAACAATGCACTTGCTCCGAGACGCTCACCTCTGAGTGCGCAGCTGCCTCGACAGAGCGTCCTCTATACCTGAGTGCTGGTGTAAGGCTTGATTATAGCGATTTTCATCCTGTGTGGATATAAATCATGCGATTTAAGCAATCAGTGATTTTAATACGGATATAAATCCGATATTATTGTAATCAAACCCACCATACACATTATTTGTTAATATCATGTCTAGGATCACATGTGTTACAGTATCTTTGTATCGGTAGCGGGCCCAACTAAATCGCGTTGCGACGGGTGCATGCATATGAAGCGTAATCGTAAAGATATTTGTTATATTTAATCGTAAAGATATTTAATTTAAATCGTAAAGATACGTAATCGTAAAGATATTAGTACTCACAACATTGTAAAGTTTCAATTTGTAGATAACACATATATATTACCCAGGCTTACATGGCGAGAAACGGTCAATGTCTCACTGTACTCTCCGCTCGAGGTGATGGGAAGTTGACTGAAGCTGTTACGTGTTTACGTATTAGGATCAAATTCAAGTAGAACTACTATATTGTCAATATAATATGTCATGTAAGGCCAGCTAGCCATTATTCTTCAGTTGTATACCAGATTCCACCAAGTACAGTGCCCCAAACCTCTAGTCTCGTCTCTGCCATTTTCCTCCATAGCTGGGACTTAGAAGTCATATACGACTATCAAACGTAACAGAAGCTGTGACATTTGCTGAGATCAAAGAAAGCTTCAGCACTCGCATTATTGCTGGCAAACCTGTTCTTCTTCTAGAATTTATTTATTAGGTATTAAAGTTGTAAAACAAACAACGGATAAATTTTTTGATTTCTCACCGATTCATTTTTATGAGCAATCGCGCTATTGCCTGGTTAATTTCATGAAAAGAAGAGCAGGCCAAGAAGAGGTTTAACTTCGCTCGTTTTTTTTATTGCCACGTGGAGCTCTCCTTGTGACTCATCCATAGCTGAGATTACAGGTAGCAGTAGCCTTTGAGCATCATGTTGAATTAGCCAGCTGGTGAGGAATGTTTTTTTTTTTTGTTATATCATAGGAATAATTTATCAAATGAAATTATTTCTCCATGACTTTATAATCTATAGTAACATCCACAGCTGAGATTACAGGTAGCAGAAGTCTTTGAACATCATGTTGAATTAGCCAGCTGGTGAGGTATGTTTTTTAGCGCATTTTCTCATTTATGGAAAAAAGGCACTATTATGCTCGCCATGTCGTCCGTCCATCTGTCTGTCCGTCCGTGACTTCACGTTTTCATCGACGAGAAAATGCGCTTTCTGTCACTCACTGCAGTGAGTACTGAGTTATATTTTTTGGTTATATCATAGGAATAATTTATCAAATGAAATTATTTCGCCATGACCCTATAGTCTATAGTAACATCCACATGAATGTCGAAGCTCACCATTTGGCGACTTTAGACAGAACGTGCTGAATACGAATAATCGCAGAAAAATGTGTATATTTTTTCTTACGCCATATTTTTTTCTTACGCCAGAAGAAAAAAGATTTTTTTTTGTAAAATAAGCAGAGCGTCTAGTGAAGTAAAAAAAATTCGACTTATAGAGGGGTTATCAACATCTTGTGCGAAGTTTCTCAATTCGGTGCAGAGCTAAAACTGAAGTGGTGCCAACGGTTACATCAAACGCAAGCTACAGCGGTTCTCCATTACAGATGCAGTCTGTTTATACAAGAAAAGGTAGAAACAAGTAAAATAACCTTAAAAAATATTAGGAATTCTTAAAATAACTTATGCAATACGCGGTATCAGTGACTCAGTACAGTCGGGGCATCAGTGCCACTGTACAGTCACAGCATCAGTGCCACTGTACAGTCGCGGTATCAGTGCCACTGTACAGTCGCGGCATCAGTGCCACTGTACAGTCGCGGCATCAGTGCCACTGTACAGTCGCGGCATCAGTGCCACTGTACAGTCGCGGCATCAGTGCCACTGTACAGTCACGGTATCAACGCCACTGTACAGTCGCGGCATCAGTGCCACTGTACAGTCGCGGTATCAGTGCCACTGTACAGTCGGGGTATCAGTGCCACTGTACAGTCGGGGCATCAGTGCCACTGTACAGTCGGGGCATCAGTGCCACTGTACAGTCGCGGTATCAGTCACTCAGTACAGTCGCGGCATCAGTGCCACTGTACAGTCGCGGTATCCGTGCCACTGTACAGTCGGGGCAT